TAAAATTCTGAGGTCACCTCCCTTTTCATATTTAGTCCTATTCATTACCTCTTCAACTCACGTGTATCACCTTTTCCCTCTCTTTAATCTAGGCTTTTATATCACTATCTTCCAGGTAGCCGAGCACCTTACAAAATTAAATACAAATATGTCAGAGGAACTAGAGTTCTTTTACTTTCTCCTTACCATTACTGATCAGATTTTTGGTTTGTTCATTTTTGTTTCGTTCTGGAGGATAGGGCCAAATTTTTTGGCCGAACTATTTTCACCAAAAATAAATAAATAAATAAAAATGCAGATTTGGGTTGACCAAAACATTTTGTGAATCTGTGTTGAATTGACCCAATTCTTTTGACTGCAAACACTAAAATAAAATTTGAAAAAAATGAAACATTTTGTTTTGACATTTTCTAAATGAAATGTTTTAATCTTTCAATCAAAACAACTTTTTTTTAAATTTATTTAAATATGTTTAAAAAAACCTTGAAAATAAAATGTTTTGTTTCAGGTCAAATGAACCATCTGACCTGAAACAAATTTTTTTTTTTTTTCAGTACAGAGAATGAACTGAAAAATTAGTTGTTTGCTCTACTGGAGCATGAAATACTATATTCTCTGATTTTGTAACTTGATGTTTCCCCTCAGTCCTGCACAGACGAATTCCCTTTAAGACTGGCTTCCACTGACTGGAGGCTAGGTCTGCTGGCATGATAATGGCAAAAAAAAAATCACAGTAATTTTCTTCTAACACTGAACAAATAACTTTATTACTTTAATAAAGGTAACAATAGTCACCCTAAATCTACTCTTTTCTCTGCAGAGTTGCTGCTTAGAACCTTCCTCAGCCCCTCTCTTGCCAGGCTTCCCTTCCTGCTATTTTTAAGTTTCCTTAAGGCTGGAGATGGTTGTTGTTTGAGAACAGGTGCAGCATTAAAGTATGGAAGAAGTAAAGAGCATGCAACCAGCTGGTGCCACTTTTGTGATCAACTCTTGGGGATGGATAGGGAAACAGGTGAGAACTGCTGGGTATGTTTAGACTGACTCGTCCTCAAATAACCATCCAAGACCCAATTATTTACATTCAAATGTATTTGGCCAAACCTGAATATAAAAATTTAAGCCGAATACTCACTGGCAGTAGAAATCTGGTACAATTCTAATGAATATCATAGTTGTAATTTTCCTAACTCCATATTCTGTTGTTTTGAAATATTTATTACTATAGACGCCAGAAGCAACATCACTCCTCTTCATTCCACATCTCTAATCACCTTCTGAAAGCAAAGTTGCCATTTTCCATAAACTGGAGATCATTTTGCTGCCCAGTCTCACAGCACAGGCTATGTCCAAAAAGCATGAAAAAAAACATTCCTTTGTGAAAGGGCTGGACAAAGCTCAAATTGGCTAGCAGGATCCACTGCTGAAGCTTAAGATTTCCTGGCCACCTAAATGCAAGCTATAGCACTGGAACTGGTCTGCAATTTTGGCAGCATCTGGATTTGTTTACAATATTACACACAGTGGTGTACTCTGTGTATTGTTTTAATGTATTTATGTAACTCAATGGTTCCTGTATAAATAATATATGCTAATGTAAATCTCACTGATTCACACACATAGTATACTGATGTTCAAATTCAGGCACTGGTTTGCACATAAATTGTGGTGTTTATGTGAGGGAAAAAGCCAGGATACAAAGCAATTTCTTTTGATTCACACACGTTGATTAGTGATTGAATGATCTGTCTCACTTACACCCAGGAAGGTATGGTGTGGTCCTAGTGCTGGAAATACCAAGGCAGAACTAAAGGCCTATGAGTCTGTGACTGGATGGAGGAACAATTTCAAAGAAGCATGAGTTACAGTTTTATGGAGACACAAGAAACAATGTCAGAGAGATAAGAAGATCAGAGGGCCCGGAATCAGTTGAAGACCAAGAAATGTAGTAAAAACCTCCCTGACAGGAATGTGTCAGGAACAAAGCTGATCCAAGAATTTTAAATGGCAAGGGAGAACAATAGAGACAGGAAGTAATGACAGGATCTTCAGAAGTCCCATTAAGAAATCTCCATCCTGGATTCTTGGGTACCAAGAACTTGCTCTGACACTAAAAAATATTAATATTAACAAAATCTAATACTGTTTTTAACAGGGGAGGATTGAGACATAAGGAATCAAAAGTCATGTCTCCTACAATGCAATAGAATTTTGTGTTCTACTTGATTTTTCTTTTAATTGCTTTCATTCCTGAGCGGGTCCCCCCACCCCAAAAAACCAACTGAGCATAGGAACTATATAACTTACCTACTTTGGGACAGGGTGCCATATGCCAGTAAGGTCATCACCATCCTGAGTTAGGATTAAATCCAAATGGGCTTTAGGTTTTTTCCACTTTTTTTATTTTTTTAAATGGCCAGTTCATTTATGCTCAGCATAGGAAGAAAAGCTGCAACTGCACCTAGAACCTTGACTGAGTGTGGTTAAAAAAAGGTACAATTACCACTGGTGTGACATGCTAGACAAGAAAGTCTTTGCCTGAACTGGTAGAGGTAGTAGGCAACATTTAGTTTTAATACTGTAACATTTCAAGCAAATATTATTCTTGTAACAGGGCAGGCTCCACTCCTGTCCTGAGACCCAAACAAAAGCTTTTGACACTTTCTGTTAGCATCTCTGTGAGTTTTATTTATATTACTTCCACCAACATGATCCCATGTAGCAATTCTATCTACAGCTTTCCCTAGTCCTCAACCCTTTGTCCAGGGAGATAGAGAGCTCTCGCAACCCTGAGATCTTACTTCCTCTGGGCTCTGTTAGGGCTTGTCTACACTTAAAACACTACAGCGACACAGTACTGCTTTGGTGTAGACACTACCTACGCCTACAGGAGGAGTTCTCCCATCAGCTGTCAATAGAAGAATTGTTCCATGCACTTAGGGCTGCCTACATGGGGACTTAGTTTAGGCTAACTACACGGCTCAGGGGTGCGGATTTTTCACACCCTTAAGCAATGTAGTTATGTCAACCTCATTTTCTAGTGTACATCAGGCCTTAACCTCTCCCCATTGCACTTCCAAGTGCTTTTTAACTACCCTCTCAGCTAACCAATAATTAGCTCCTCCGCCCCACTCTGATTAGGTAATTAACTATTCCACTTCTCCATCAGGAAGGGGACTAAGGAACACTTAAGTGATCAGAGTGCCAAGCCAGCTACTGGCTCTCAGCACGCTGTCAAATCTCTTAAATAGATCTGAAGTCAGAACAATATACCTTGTACAGCTTCTTTCACGGCAAAACAGATAAGACCTAGTAGAGCAGCCCATTGTGTCCCTACCAATTCAGGAGTGTTCTGAAGCTGCCACTTTTGTGATCAATGCTTGGGGAGAAGATGTCTAGGGGAAACAGGTGTACACATCACATCACATCCCAATAATACCCTACAGAGTCACGGAGTTCAGATTTTATATCTGTCCAGCCAATGATCTGGAGGATGGCGTGGACTGCACCCTCAGCAAGTTTGCAGATGACACTAAACTGGGAGGAGTGGTAGATACGCTGGAGGGTAGGGATAGGATACAGAGGGACCTAGACAAATTAGAGGATTGGGCCAAAAGAAATCTGATGAGGTTCAACAAGGACAAGTGCAGAGTCCTGCACTTAGGACGGAAGAATCCTATGCACTGCTACAGACTAGGGACCGAATGGCTAGGCAGCAGTTCCGCAGAAAAGGACCTAGGAGTTACAGTAGATGAGAAGCTGGATATGAGTCAACAGTGTGCTCTTGTTGCCAAGAAGGCTAACGGCATTTTGGGCTGTATAAGTAGGGACATTGCCAGCAGATCGAGAGACATGATCATTCCCCTCTATTTGACTTTGGTGAGGCCTCATCTGGAGTACTGTGTCCAGTTTTGGGCCCCACACTACAAGAAGGATGTGGAAAAATTGCAGAGTCCAGCGGAGGGCAACAAAAATGATTAGGGGGCTGGAGCACATGACTTATGAGGAGAGGCTGAGGGAACTGGGATTATTTAGTCTGCAGAAGAGAAGAATGAGGGGGGATTTGATAGCTGCTTTCAACTACCTGAAAGGGGGCTCCAAAGAGGATGGATCTAGACTGTTCTCAGTGGTACCAGATTATAGAACAAGGAGTAATGGTCTCAAGTTGCAGTGGGGGAGGTTTAGGTTGGATATTAGGAAAAACCTTTTCACTAGGAGGGTGGTGAAGCACTGGAATGGGTTACCTAGGGAGGTGGTGGAATCTCCTTCCTTAGAGGTTTTAAGGTCAGGCTTGACAACGCTCTGGCTGGGATGATTTAGTTGGGGATTGGTCCTGCTTTGAGCAGGGGGTTGGACTAGATGACCTCCTGAGGTCCCTTCCAACCCTGATAGTCTATGATGCTAGGAAAGGTGAGTGACACAGGGCAGCACAGACAAGGGGTGGGGGGG